TTCCTTCCTTCCTTCCTTCCTTCCTTCCTTCCTTCCTTCCTTCCTTCCTTCCTTTCTTTTTCTTTTTCTTTTTCTTTTTCTTTCTTCTCTCTCTCCCTCCCTCCCTCCCTCCCTCCCTCCCTTCCTTTTTCTCTCCTCCTTCCCTCCTTCTTTCACATGTGTTGTACATGTGTGTGCACATGCGTCTGTGTGCAGAGGCCAGAGGAGGAAATTGGGTCCCTTCCTCTATCCTTCTCTACCTCATTTCCTTTGAGATAGGTCTCTTACTGAATCTGGAACTTGCCGTTTTTCCTTTTGCTGGGCCGATGGCCAGGGTCCCCCCCCTGTGAACCTCCTGTCTCCACCTGCTTCCAGTGCAGGGTGGCAGGTGTATGTGCGTGGCCAGGCCTGGCTTTTTTATGTGCTGGGATCTAAATGCAGGTCCTATGCGTGTACAGCAAGGGCTCTTACCCACCGGGCCATCTCCCCCGTTTTCTCTCTATTGATCTCTTTGTGAAAGAACCTCAAGGCTAAAAAAAGGACAGACAGGTTTGGTGGGTAGGGAAGGGAACGGGTAGGTCTGGGAAGGTTGGGGGAGGGAGGATGAATCTGATCAAAACGTGCTTATTGTACAAAATTCTTGAAGAACTTTATGTCTGTATCTGTAAGAGCCGTAAGCCTGAGAGAAGGAAGCTGGTTTATTTGCATTCCAGGTGTGAGACTTTCCCATTCCCATTCAGACTGTAAAAGGGATTCAGAATAAAAGGGTAGGAAGAAATGGTTCAGGAGGAGGCAGGCTTGGGACCCAAATGCTTTGAAAGCATTGTAGGGGAACTGCACTGTCTCTTCCTGAGGCAATTCCACATATTCTTTTTAATGCATTCCCTAACATTTCTCTAGAGGAGGGAATAAAGTGTGTTTTATGAACTTACAGTAATTCCATCTTGATTGTTTGTCTTATTTTAATTTTTTATTCATCTATTTATTTTACATCCTGCCGCAGCCTCCCCCCATCCCCCTCCCAAGCCCCCCCATTCTCTCCTACTCCCCACCACCATCCCCTTCTCTTCCATCTCCATCCAGCAAAGGGCAGGTCTCCCATGAGCATCAATAAAACATGGCATATCAAGTTGCAGTAAGACTCAGCACCTCCCTATGTATTAAGGCTGGGGAAGGCAGCCCAGTGTGAGGAGCAGGGAGTAAAAAGAGTTAAAGCCAGTAAAAGGTGGAGACAGCCCCTGTTCCCGCTGTTAGGATCCCACCAGAGGGCCCAGTGACACAACTGTCGCATACATGCAGAGTGACTAGGTCAGTCTTCTGCAGACTCCCTGGTTGTTGATTCCGTCTCTGTGAGTCCCTGGGAACCGGGTTAGTTGGTTGTGTGAGCCTTCCCGGGGTGTCTTTGACCCCTCTGGCTCTACACTCTTCTCCTCTTCCTGAACACCACCTAATGTCTGGCTGTGGTCTCTGCATCTGCCTCCATCAGTCACTGGATGGTACCTCTCTGTTGACAATTAGGCCAGGCACCCTTCTGGTGACAAGAGATGACCAGTCCAGGCTGCTTATCGGCTATTGCTAGGAGTCTAAGCTGGGGTCCTCCCCATAGACTCCTGGGAGATTCCCCTGTACCAGGCTTCTGCCTGACCCTGAAAAGCCCCCCCCCCCCAGCAGTCCCCCTGAGAACACTCCCTCTCTTTCCCCCAACCTGATTGCTCATGTTCCCATCCTGACCTGGCCTCAGTCCACTCTCAAAATCTGTTTCTCTTTCCCAGGGAGATCTGGGTGTCTCCTCACGAACTCTCCTTATTACCTAGTCTGCCTGGTTCTGTAGATTGTAGCATAGGTATCTTTTATTTTATAGCTATATCTACTAATGAATGAGTACATATCATGTTTGTCTTTCTCGGTCTGGATTACCTCACTCAGGATGATTTTTTTTTTTTTTTTAGTTCTATCTATTTGCCTTCAAATTTTCCGGTGTCCTTGTTTTAACAGCTGAGTAACACTCCATTGTGTAAATGTACCACATTTTCTTTATCCATTCTTCGGTTGAGGGACATCTGGGTTGTTTCCAGGTGCTGCCTATTACAAATAAAGCTGCTATGAACATGGTTGGGCAAATGTCCTTGTGGCATGACTGAGCATCCTTGGGGTAGATGCCCGAGAGTGATAGAGCTGGGTGGTAGGTTGACTCCTTTCTTCTCTTTGTCCAGGTTTTATTTGCGACAGATGACTTTTTCGGCCCTGCAGAAAACCTCATAAAGGTATGGCGCCAGGCATCCTGTGTTGTGAATGATTGGCGTAGCTGAAGCTCTGCAGCCATCATATCCAGGGCAGAAGCCATGTGGTGTGGACTGGGCAGGAAGGATCAGACCCCTGGAAAGGCACCCGATTCAGCACCAGCTCCCAGGGAACACACAGAGCCAGGAGGAGCCAGGAGAGGAAGGGAGGGCCAGGTTGCCGAGGGGGAAAAACTAAGGTCACTGAGTATGCCCCTTAACTAATGTGGATCCCATGTCCTGGGCTTGGAGAAAAATAGACGCATCTTGAATTTTGGGGAATTTCTGCTTAAGTACAATAGGTAGGGTATTCTTGGTTAAAAAGTGGGCCAGTGGGGCTGGGAGATGACTCAGCATATAAAGTACTTGCTTCATAGGCCTGAAGACCTGAGTTCAATCCATGTAACCCTAGAACCAGAGAACCAGTTCTTGAAAACTATTTGTTGACTCCACACACACACCATGGCTCACCTCTAACACACACACACACACACACACACACACACACACACACACACACACACACACACCCCACACCCCACACCCACATCCACACCCACACCCACACCATTAATAATAAAAATAGAAACTGAACTGTGGACAGATAGAGCTTGGGAGACAGCTCAGTGGATAAGGTGCTTGCTGTGTGAGCGTAAGGATCCTGAGTTTGGATCCTCAGAACGCACAAAGAAACCAGCTACAGAGGTGCATGCACCTATAATCCCAGCCCTGGGAGCATGGAGACAGGAGGCTCCTTGGGCCTTGTTGGCCAGCCAGTCCCATTTAATTGGTGATCTCCAGGTTCAGTGGGAGAGACCCTGCCTCAAAAGACAAGTGGGGAGTAATTAAAGAAGACACAGGTGTCTATCTGTAGACTTGACATGACATGCATAAGCACATGTGTATAGACTCTCTCTCTCTCTCTCTCTCTCTCTCTCTCTCTCACACACACACACACACACACACACACACACACACACACACACACACTATTGCTCTCCCCCTCCCCACAAAGGCAGCCCCTAAAGTAGATAAATACAGAGAACCCACAGTGCTGAGAACCCCGCTGTCTCATCACCCATGTAGGCATGAGGACTCTTAGGTGTGAGGAGGGAAACCCAGGGGTACATGGTCAGTGGGTGTGATGGCATGGCCCCTGCAGCCTTGGTCAGAGGTCCCTAGAGATTGCCGGTGTGTCAGAGCAGGACCTGGCTGCGCTCAGTGCAAGTTGACTCACTTATCTCTGAAGGCACGGTCCGTGTATCACCTGAATTTTTACTCAGGAGAAAATGCAAATAAAATGAGAGCCAGAGAGTTCATGTCACAGGCGAGCAAATGCCAGAGTTGTAGCATCTCATGATGTGCTCTCCTCTCTGAGAGAGTTCAGTGTGTCCACCCTGACCTAACTCACTCAGATCTGTGCTGTTTGTACCCCAGGCAAACAGACACAGAAAATATTCATTCTGGTATTTGGAGCAGGAGAAAAATCAGCCTAAATGGAAACCACCAGGGAGTTAGATCAGGAGTGTGGCTCTTCCAGACATACACTATGGGAGTTGCAGCCCACTCCATACTCTCCTTTGGTAGAGTGGACACACTGAGCGGTGGTGTCCATCATTGTTACACACACACACACACACACACACACACACACACACACACACACACACACACGAGACTTACACAGCAAATACGTGTTCCCACAACTTGGAGGCTGGACGCCCAATACCCAGGCTGGTAGAATCACTTCACGTGGCTGTTCCTCATTGTGTTCTTACAGGTGCAAGGCACAGAACAGATGCTCATTTCTTCTTACAGGGTCCAGTCCCATCGTGAGGGATTCGGCCAGTGAGCTTCCCACTCTGTACCAAGTACCAGAGAGGAATCAGCTTTTAAAGAGGGAAGCTTATTTTTGCCTCGTGGCTTCAGAGGTCTCATCCATGGCTCATTGGCCTGTTGCTCTGGGCCTGTGGCAGCATAGAACACCAGGGTGTGAGCAGTGGAGGCCGCTCACCTGAGGGCAACCTAGGGATGGAAGAGAAAGGGCCAGGACATTCTCAGTACCTCCACCAACACCTCCAGGAGACCCTTTAGGCTCCACCTCTGAGTTCCACTGCCTCACAATGTGCAAAGCCAAGGATTAAGCTTTTGTTTAATACCTGGGTATTGGTTAAAATATTAAGGCAACTCCACGTAGTCAAAAGGGAGGTTTATTTTGTGGGGTAACTTAAAGTGAAGGGAGAGGTTACAGGGTCTGGGAAAGGTTAAGTACAGTCCACTGGTGTTCTCTGGAGAACTCTGCTTGGTCTGCCTCCAGCGTCCAGGGTCCAGGAACCAAGAGAGCTCCCCCATCCGGATCCCTGGTCTTCAGGGTCCTCTCTCGGCTCCGCCTTGTAGGCATGACAGTTACCAAAGCCTCAAAAGGGGTGGTATTTCCAGGTCAAAGCTGGACCGGCTACCCACTACACCTGGGCCTTTGGGAGTGTTTAACATCCAAACTGTAACGTGTTCTTCCCTTGTGACCAAGTCACTCCCAAGCCCCCACATCCTCATGACCATCTCATGGTTTGGGGGTTTCAACACAGGAATCTGGAGGCATGAACATTCAGTCCGTAACAGAAAAGTCTGGTGCATCCTATACTTTAAAGCAATTGTAGCTGTAAGTATATGACACACTTTGTATTTTTTAATGTTTACATGTCTTAAGTACCTGACGTTCTGGAACTGGACTCTTTTCAATGACAACTTTTCTCATGGTCCTTGCAGACCCAGGCCCTCCTCTTCACTGCTGTGTGGCTGATACTGTCCCTTTCCCCTGTCCATGCACATTTCAGTGGGTCACATCCTTCATTGTAGAGCAGGCTCTGGACTGTGAGAAAGCCCCAGGGCCAGCCTAGGGTCTTTTTTCAAATATGTTAATTGTCACCCTTTCTACACAGTAAGTACTTTTTCCTCCTATCAACCTGGAGTGTGAGGACTTTGGAATATTTTAGATGATTAGATCAAGGATGCTCAATCTGTTAATAAAGTTAATAAACATGTTGCCAGAATCTATACATTTTTAAGCACGGGCACTTCTTACGTAGCCTGGCATGTCTCCATGTCCATGATGGTCTTTGTTGGGAAATATCACCTTCAGCTGGAGCCTTTTCTCTGTTCAGCTTATAAAATCATCACTCAGAGGCTTAATATTAATTACAAACTGTTTGGACTATGGCTCAGGCTTGTTACTAGCTGGCTCTTACATCTTAAATTAACCCACTTCTATTAATCTATCTATCGCCATTCATCTCGTGGCTTTACCTGTGTTCTGTTACATCTTCCTCCTCTGGAGACTCACACCCCCGACTCTGCCTTTCTTCTCCCTGTATCTTTGTTTGGATTTCCTGCCTGGCTCTAACCTGTCTTGCCATAGGCCAAGGCAGCTTCTTTATTAACCAATGGTAGCAACACATATTCGCAGTGTACAGAAAGACCATCCCACAACAATCACCTGCCTTTGACCCATGAAGGAAATCGAGGTATGGGGGTGAGTCTACCCCACAGGCCCAGGCTGGGAGCTCATGAACTGCTCCGTGAGAGGTTGCCCATGAATCATTTCAATGTCACCACACTCCACTGAGGCTCTGCAGTCACCCTGGTCCTCAAGGGTGAAGCAGATTTCTCAATGGTTCACTTTAAGAGCCTGAGCTGGCTTCGCTGCCACCAGGAATCCTTTCTTTCCCACAAGTGGTGGCACACACCTACGGCATAAGACCTTCAGTGTCTATCCTGACCACAAGCTTCCAGTGGGCTCTCCGATCACGGTCTCTGTCATTGCTTCGGAAGTGTGACTGCCCTGATCCCATTTTGCTCAGTGCCCACCTAGACACAGCAGAGGGGGAAGCATTCCTGGCGCCCGCGTGTGGTCTCCTCTGTGGCTGATAGGGGTTCACTCTGTGGACTGAGGATCACAGACAAGAGTTCTACTCTCAGATGGTACAGAATATGGAGGCACCTCTTGGTCTGGGTGGTAGAGCTGGGCATGAAGGTGGGGCAGATTCTTCCAGTGAGTCCTTGTCTCTTTGCAACGTCACCTGACAGGCTGATGACCCAAGCTCTTCATGAATATTAATGATCTCCTGTCCATCTTTTTTAGAGCAGTAGTCCGAGTTTTAAGGAACATGAATATACCCAGTTTGGGAAATGGATGGATGGATGGGAGACCAGGCGGAAGCGGATTCCAGGTAAGGTGTGTGTGTGTGTGTGTGTGTGTGTGTGTGTGTGACTGTGAATGCTCATCCTACACTGTGAAGTTTAGAGATGGTGGCTTGCCTAGTGTATTAGTTGTTTTTTAACTACTGTCATAAAATAATGTGACCAAGGCAATGGGTAGACAAAAGAGCTTATTTGGGCTTACAGTTTCAGAGGGCTAGAGTCCATCGTTGTGGGAAGTCATGACAGCAAGAGGCATGGAGTGGCAGGAGAGGAAGCCGAGAGGTCACATCTTTAACAGCACGCACAAAGCAGAGACAGTGAAATGGAAGTAGCTTCAAGCCCTCAAAGCCCCTCTCCAGTGACGTGTTTCTCTAGCAAGGTCCCACTTCCTGTGCCTCCCCAAATATCACTGTCAATTGGGGTCCAAGTGTTGTAATGCCTGAGCCTATGGGAGACACTTTCCATTCAAACCACCACACCTAGCATTCAGGAAGCTCTGGGTTTGACCCTTAGCACCATTTAAACCAGGTGTGGTGGGGGCATGCCTATAATCCCAGCCCTGGAGGTGAAGGCAAGAAGATCAGGAGCTCAAGGTAATTCATTCTTGGATCTATAGCCAGTTTAAACCTGAACTACATGAGAATCTGGAGTGGTGGTCTGCTGTAAAACCAGTGTCCTGAAGGCTTGGTAGGTACATGTAGGCACACTGGGGGATTGGGTGGAATGGAGGCTGTATGGAACTCTAAAATAGTAGAGAGTAAGTTTGCAGAAGAGCCAGGCTCGGGGGTCCTACACTTCAATGACCCCACTGAAGCTTTCAGAAGTTAATGTCTTTTTCCCTGACTTAGAGTTAAAGAAATGAGCCTCATAGAGATCCTGTGATTTGTCCAGCATAATAATGGGAAAGGATGGGCTTAGAAATCAAGTTGACATCTCTAAATCCAAGGCCTGTGCATTTTCTGGTTTGATTAGAATTGAGGACCCTATGGGTCCTGGTGATCCTTGGTGGCCACATTATGAGAATCACCTTGAACATGTGCTTCTGTGGTGGAAGATGATGGGGCCTCATAGCTTCTGTCATTTCCCCTGTGGAACTTCAAGGGTGCTCTCCTCATCTCCCATGGGACCTCATGGGTACTCTTGCACTCCCCCTTGGAACATCATTGTGGTGATAAATTGTGTTCCCCAATATATTGTGCACCCTAATAAAGCTTATCTGAAGGTCAGAGGAAAAAGCCAGTCACCATATTAAACATAGAAGTCAGGCAGTGGTAGCACACGCCTTTAATCCTAGCATTTGGGAGGCAGAGATCCATCTGGATCTCTGTGAGTTCAAGGCCACACTGGGAACAGAGCCAGGTGTGGTGACATATGCCTTTAATCCCAGCACTAGTTAACCATAGAGGTCTGGAGATCTGTACAGACAGACAGGAAGTGATGTAGCTGGGCAGAGGGAGGAAGTGAGATGGCAGGGCACAGAAAGGCATAGGTGTGGGTAGACAGGAAGTAGGTCTCTTTGGCAGCTGAGGAGTTGGTAAAGCGAGGTTGGCTGTGGCTTGTCCTATTCCTCTGATCTCTCAGTTTTTACCCCAATATCCGGCTCTGGGTTTTGTTTTTGTTCTTAATAAGACCGTTTAGTAATTCGTCTTACACATCCTGGGCATTCTTGTGGTCCTGTTGTACAGGTCATGACTGGTGTGTCATCCAGCTGGGGGTACAGGGCATTATCCGTGGCATCGATGTGGACATTTCTTACTTCTCAGGGAGCTATGCCCCTCGCATGTCAATTCAAGCCGCAAACTTGAGTGAAGGTACGTAGGAGCCACTGTCTCCAGGGAGGAGCGTGGGACCGCAGGCACCTCCGACTCCGCTGGGTGCTAATTTTTCTGTAAGAAGCAAATGTGCCAGTGTTCTGAAGTTGTGGGGCTTCCATGGAGCCTACGAAGTAGGTCATGATGGGCTGCCCTGAGGTCTTTGATGTTTGGCTTAACTACATTTGCTGGTCCCATGTGGTGACGGTCATTCCCCACAGAGCTCGGGTTTTTGTGTTCTCTCTCTCTCTCTCTCTCTCTCTCTCTCTCTCTCTCTCTCTCTCTCTCTCTCTCTC